ACCCACTATCCGAACATCTTCATGCGCGAGGAGCTGGCCCTCCGTATCGGCCTCACCGAGTCCCGCATCCAGGTAGGAGGAACACCCCCCCCCCAACACACACATGCACTCCGCCCCCCCACCCGGCACGGCCACAATCCTGCTCCCTCCCCCAAGCGAGAGTAATTTAATAGCCGCCTGACCTGTGATTACTACCCATAACGGAACATGAAACTTACTCAGGCCAGGTAGGGAGAAAAGGCCGGCAAAACAAGCCCCCCCCCCCCCAAGGAAACAAGATTTTTTTCAACCCGCCAACTGTTCCTTTTTCATCTTGTTTCTTCTTGTCCCACAGTCGCCTAAAGTGACAAAGAAAGGTGGGTTGTTGTGGGTTTTTTGCACAGAGATGCGGTAATTGGGTAGAAAGGCACCATCAAGACCAAACAGTTTCGGCGCTAAGAGGTGAAGCTATTCTACTCGCACAAAAAACGAAACCAAAAACGAAAGGAAGACACCCCCCCCCCCAATAAATGGCGCGGCTTCGGAAAAAGGGGGTTTGTTTTTTAGCAGCCTGGGGATTTCCCTGCTAATTTACAAGGCCCAGAGATCGATTGCTGAGGCGCCCCACCGACACTCCAACCGCCAGCGCCTTGACTTGGTTTCACCAGCACAGTGCTCGAAGGCCTGACAGGCCTCTAGGAAAGAGGTCAGGCTTCATTTAGAAGCCCAAACAGACTAACGCTTGACTAAAACTTGGAGGTTTACGTTTAGGAAATAGCGTTCTTTGCCAATGATTATATACATTATAGAAAATGACAGTATAGTGACGAAAAACTCTCATATAATCTGAGTGGTTAATATTGAATTTCTGCACACATCGATTCGAATTTAATGTGCGTATTTTCTTTAAAATTCTTCGGTCTCCAGTCGCGGGTCGCCTAACTTGAATGGGTTTCAATCGGGCAATATTTACAGTCTCGCTGTGCGCTGTCCGTAGTCCTGAAACTTTCCGTCCTGCGACTCCTTCATCTTGGATTATTCCTCGTCTAAGTAGAACGTATTGCAAGTACTGAAGGAAAAGGTGTAAACCCGGAACGAAATGTCCACGGAGGCCTCTGCATTTTAGATCGAAATTATTATTCTAATATGCGCAATCGTTTACTAGCGTAAATACGCTTACCTGGATTGGAAGATTTACTCCCAATTAAATTCATTGAGGTTCGGGGTACATGTGTATTTTATCTGACTTGAATTTGTCTAATGCATTTAGCCAGGAACCGGACAACGACAGGCAGAGTACTTTTTAGAATTAGCGACTATTAAACTCGGGTATTTTTTCCTGTTTTTTTGTGGGGGGTTCTCTTCATATAAAATTACTTAAAATGATGGATTAGTGATATCATTCTCCAACAAACTTCAAGTGGGCCCCAACAAAATTAAAATAATAACATCAAAAAATTCAAAATTGAAAGCCGAGTTTCATAAACGGAAAATTTCCAGTTGGCGATTCTCTGCAACTGTACATGAAGAGATTTGTTTTAAATAAGTAATGCAATTTTACCCGGTCCGTGTAAAGAATATAATTAGTTTAAATTAAAAAAGAAATTGGGCTTCCAAATAAAATACAGTTGAAGAGAAAGGAAAATGAGATCTGTTAAACGTCATTGGGTTTCCCCGAAGGTTAATGATAGCTATTTCAGCATCACGATTGTGGCGAATGACACAAAACCTATAATGAGGAACAGAAATGGCTATTCTTCCCTGGCTCTCTCCCACATGGTGGAAACGTATAGGGAGTAAAAAAGATTTTCAGCCCCAAAGACATTTACTGATAGCAAAATAAAGCAGGGTGAACCCAGAATTTCATACTTTTTTGTTATGAATTAATGAATTACCGCCTTTGATTTACAGTCACTAACGAGGTGTGGAATATTCATTCACAAGTTCCAAAAAACCTATTTCTTAACATCTTTCCACCCAATCCCGACCATGATTACTAAATCGTGATTAAAGTGTGGTAAGGATAATTCATTTCAAGTGATCCTGACTATGGACCTTTCCTTCCAGGTAAGGGTGCTCCGGATCGCTACTTGAGGACACTTCCAAGCCTGAATCCTACCCGTGTTTTCGCGGAATTGAACCGCGCTGATTTCAAGCCTTACCCTGGAGACAAATTCCGGGAACACAAGTAGGATTTACCTCCGAGTTAAATGCGCTTGAGATCTGAGGAAAGTATCTTAATGACCTCAGCATAATCCTACACCCTGCTAATAGCTCCAGGCGGCTGAATAGAAACAGTTTAATCGAGTGGCAATTTAAATATTCTTTACAATAATGTTCTGCAGTTTAAAAAGTAATCAAATCAACATAACCTTCTTAATTAACACTTCAGAATGATTAACATTGTGTAAGCTTGTGCAAAAAATAAATTATGGGAAATGTATTTACTTCCCAGTTCATTGTATTCTTGCTACTTGACCAAATGGAAATGAAAAGAGTAATGGATGGGTTTATGGTCTCGTTTACACAATCTTGGCGGCGTGTAGGGGGCTCCACATTGATCCGGGAAGGCTGCAGACGCTCGCCTTTGGCGCAGCCCTGTACATACCATTATGTGCCCATAATATGCAAGAATAAATTATCTCTTCTCCACTTTACTACACTGTACATTTTTTAAAAGCACTCCTGCTTGTCAACCAGGCCTATTCCACTTCTAAGTTACCGCGCCGCTCCCCCCCCTTCAGGCCGGGTGTAATAAAACTATTCTTTTTATAGCATGCCATTATTAGAAACCAATTTCAGAATTATTTATAACCTAGAATGGCTTATTAAGCAGCAATGCGAGAATCATGCAAATGACAGCGATCCAATGCAATATAATAAGCATAATCATTAGTCTCTCGCGCTGATTAATTAACTTTCAATATTTTATTTACATAAAAAGCAAATCAGTGAAATAACTTCTGCACAGCCAGGCTTGCCTTTCAATATTTTATACCAACCTAAAAAAAAATGTGCTGGGATTCCATTGACCGTGTCCCCGCGCTGCCCGTGTCACCTGCCACATCTTAATAGGGGACAAGCTGAAGAGTATTTTCTAGTTTTCTAATGGAATGAGAAATTGCATTTTCTTCCTCTCCCAGCAACTATTAAAGCGTAATGAATTCGGCCTAGAGTTCACGGCTGGCTGATCGAAATGAACCTGAGATCTGAGCTTTAATGCAGTTCCCCAGATTTCCTACCAAATCTTCGCATTAATCATCCGCTGGATTCCAATGAGATCTTCATAAAGCTTGGGGGGGGGGGAAGTAATATTCTCTCCCCCGTTTATAGCTAGGGAATTAAACGGACTATATATTTCCAAATACATTTACAGTATGTCTATATTACTGTAACAGCAGGAATCATGAAAGTAGAGTTTGAAATTGCAAACTCCATTAGACCCTCAGTGTTGTATTAATAATGTAGGGTGAGGTGGAAGCGGAGGGAGGGGAGAAAGAAAGAGCGGCTGCATTCCGAAGTGGCCCAGATGCCTGCGGGTTAATATATTTCCAGCGCCGGGTTGTCATGTGTGCCTTCTTCAAGCCTCCCTCAGGTTTCCTCTTCCTTTTAATCTGTCATGCACCGGTTTCCAACTGGATACGTTCACAGTTTCCAAAGCATATGCGCAGTCGCTCAGAAGTGAGGCGATGAAGACCTGATGGAGATTCTTTTATCACCCCAGTAAACCATGACACATAAAAAGATTTTGTGGCCGCTATTTAACTATTAACCCTAAAACATAATTGAACACGATTTTCTCTCCCTCTCTTTCTCCCCCTTTGGATTATTATTCCTATAACATTTAGGTTCTTAAACAGCTGTTCTTTCTGCTAATGGCTAAGCACGGTTCCCATATAAAGAGAAAGGACTAAAATAATGTGGGTGTGATTCGGGAACTATTCAAAGCACTGTCAGATTTGCCTTTGAACTGTACACTCCTCTCTCCAGAGAAGAAGGGCCCCGATCCGAACGGTGGGAGAAGTGGCAGTTGACTGCTCCTACCACTACTCCATTTCCAGTCACTTTAGGCACTCCCACCCCCACCACCTTATTACTCACAAAGCCTTTGAGTGAGTTATTAAGGCACAGATTGGGTGTTAATGGTGAAGAAGAAAAAAGATTCGGAGTTGTGCCATAAGGTGCCCAGTCCCATAAGGTGTTCTGCCTGGATAATGTACAGAGCATTTCTCACCAGAGGCGGTACCCCCAGTTTGACTCCTTAGAGGGATGGAGCGCACAAACGATTGTGAAAGTTCTTGCACTTTAGGTAACTTGCAGGTTACTTCGCCAAAACTGGTGCAAACCCGGAGCAGGCTGAGACAATGGAAAGAGATCAAAGGGCTGGGCGAGAAGACGATAAAGAACCGGTCAGATGTAACCGGAGAAGGGGAAGAATTGGAAAGAGCCACCAAGCTCAGCTCTTCCGGCACAGGAATTAAGAAATGTCAGATCGTTTAAAAATCCGTAATATGTATCTTTATTTTCACTTTTAAAGATAATTTGTGTAAATGGACGAACCAGAGTAAGGAAGGAAAATCCGCCCCATTCTAATGGCCAGTGTTGTTTGTCTCGCGATAATTGTGCCGCGGGGCCCTAAGCAGGTTCACTCGGAAGTGAGCCGCCGCCGAGTTCGATGGCATTTACTTCTAAGTAAGACTGTTGTCTCGGACTGCAGCCTAAATGTTCAGTTCCATGCATATCCTTACTTGGGAGTACGTGCCATTGAATTCAGTGCGGCTGACTTCTGAGTAAACGAACTTAGTATCAGCCTAGCCGTCTCGGTTTCTATTCCTATCAGGCCGAGTCCCATTTGCTTAATTTCAATAGCCTGGTTTGTAAAAAAATGTTTGAATTTAATGGTTCAATGGAAAATGAAAGGCTGCTGCCAGATAGATTGAGTTTATGAATAGCTGAAGCTGATGAAACCTCGGCTGATTAACTAAGGCATCAAAATGAAAATCTAAAACAAAATGTTCTGTGGTCGTGCAAATGGCAGAATAGTTAACGATTTAATACAAGTTTTTAAAATCGCACTTGTGGAACCCCAACTTCATTTCAAGAGTAATTGGGGGAGGGGTGAAGAGCTCTGTTTTTACCTTTTCTATTACAGTAAAACTGGTGCTTTCAAAGGAAATTGGAAACAATAGGCACCAAGCATAAATTTGGAAATTCTTCCATTTGCAACCCTGGAAAATATTTACTTTCACCCAACCTGCAAAAAGTAGGATCCTAAACTAGTAAAATAAATGCAGCCCTGCTGACTGAAGACACTGTTGGAGCCTAGAGTTAAACAGATACTTGGAATAACTATCATGCAAAAGCAAAAAGGCTTGTCGCATCTTAAAGACAATCTATTTATTGTAGCATAAGCTTTGGTCCAGTAGAGCCTACGTCATCAGATGCATTCTGAAGATATACTTTATATGTCTGAAGTGGGCTCTAGTCCAGGAATGCTTATGCTACAATAAATCTGTTACTCTTTAAACTGCCACTAGACTTCTTTGATGTTTGCTGTAACAGATTAACACTGCTACCATTCTGAAAGGATTAAACAGATACTGTAAAGATTCCCATCTTTCCACACCTGCCCCAAGATGTGAATGAGAAATTTTTAGGTGAAATGGCAGCATATTCTCACTGTGTACTCTATTTCCACACATTTTCATTGTAGGCAGTTTCTTCACATATTTTCTAATTAACCTGGCTTTGTTTAATAACTCTAAATTGCAGTCTTCACCAAGACATAAAAATCCATGTTAATAAAATTGGTCCTTTCAGCAGATGAAAGACACACATTTACCACAGACTTATCTACAATGTGTCTTCATGTTTAAAATATCATAGTAACACAATCCACATTTCTGTATGCAGATTTTCTTGGTGAATTGGGATACAAGTGTGCAACAGTGTTGTGTGCACAGAACCCCCTAGATGAATGTTTGTCTCAAATGACAGGGAACTGTACACATCATTCTCAAATGGACACTGTACATAATGGATATAGTGTCCAACCCGTGGGCAGTAAACCTAATATGTACTTTCCAAATAGTCTGACGATGTTAACAAGAATTTACATCTGGGGTAATTGCTTGCAGCTATGATTTATATGTAACCAGTTGTATGTTTATAATATTAACATACGTAGCATTAGTAATGCTCTAGTATTTTCTATATAATATAGAAGAGTCACCTGCAATGTGATGAGGGAAGAAGTGAAGTTATGGTCTCTCTTTGAATTTATACATTCACTGAAAAGTTGAAACTGATACACATGGAATAATACTATACTAGATAAACTATACAAACCAGACTCCTGTGCATTAAATTACCATGCTTAGCACATGTATCTCTTATTTACCATACAAATAAATATTGTATACATGCTGCAGGCATAGTCTAATCTTTGCATCTATCCTGGTTGTATTATTTGCCTATCCTTCATATTTCATCAACTGATCATTAAAAACAGTTTCACAGCCCATGATTTCAAGTGCCAGCAAACAGTTTGCTTAAAATCACAGACATAAATTAGTTTAGCCTTAACTCTTGGGAGCAAAAATTGGCTGAACTGCAAAATCCTACCTTGGTCGAACTTATGGATAAGCTATCGATACAACCTTAGCACAAATGAAAGTAATGTGATAGGAAAAATGTAAATAAATATTAATAATCTGCCATTGGCTTCAAAGAATAAACTAGATGTGTATTCGAAGTTAAGCACAAGGACACCTTATCCTAAAGAGTTCAGTGAAACGCATTCAATGAAGTGTGGCTGTTATAGCAATCATAATATGCAGTAAGACTAGAAAGCAAATTTCAATTAACTCACTGGCTTACTTTGAGTAAACTTGAACGCCACAATCCTAAGAAACCGGGAGTTATTGCTTACTGGGACTTACTGCTGAGTAAATATGTTTCATATAGTGTTGCATACTGATTTAAGCCAAAATTCCTTTACACAGCTAGTTTATGCATCAAGATATCAATTACAAACTCTAGTGTTTAGCTTTATCTTTTTGTATTTATATGGCTTGACGTAGAATCCGAAACATTATTAAGAAGCAGGTTCTCAAGAAAACAAATAAAGCTAAATATTAGTAACAATCAAACAAAAAGATGTAAAAAAAGGACGGATGAACAAATGTGTAACTTTAAAGATAACAATCACATATTATAAGATTAACTCTGCACTAATAATGAATCGAGAGTTAATTTTTCTGCCAATTATTTTGATGTAAATAATATTATCTGGGACATTCTCAGAGAGAGCATTTCACTATTACTGAAGCCTCTTCTTATCCCAAAATCCCAGTCGAAATAGGTTCCTTATGCCTCCCCCCCCCCCTTCACAGCATACAAAAGTCCTTTATTCATGAATCAAAATGAGTGATCCGCCTTTTAGGTTTTGTCAGGAGGGTCAGCGTGGGAAGGACGCCCAGGCCTTCAAAGCGCTTGTCAGGTTCTGAGAGGAATGACTGCTACTGATATGATCCTCCCCTCCGCCATTTCCTCCCACCAGCGACGCCACCTCTGCCCTTGGGCCTTCCTCAGAGGGGCGGGCCCCGATGGATGGCGGGCGGGGAAAGGCGGCGCTAGGCGACGTCCGCTGGCTCGGGCCTGCCCTCAGCACTAACCCGCCTCTCTCTTCTCTCTCTCTCTCCCCCCCCTTCCCGCCTTCGGGCAGGTCTGGTTCCAGAACCGGCGGGCCAAGTGGAAGAAGCGCAAGAAGACCACCAACGTGTTTCGCGCCCCCGGCACGCTGCTGCCCACGCCAGGCCTGCCCCAGTTCCCGTCTGCTGCCGCGGCTGCGGCCGCCGCCATGGGCGACAGCCTGTGCTCTTTCCACGCCAACGACACGCGCTGGGCCGCGGCCGCCATGCCGGGGGTGTCGCAGCTGCCCCTGCCCCCGGCGCTGGGCAGGCAGCAAGCCATGGCGCAGTCGCTGTCGCAGTGCAGCCTGGCGGCGGGGCCTCCGCCCAACTCCATGGGCCTGTCCAACAGCCTGGCGGGCTCCAACGGCGCCGGCCTCCAGTCGCACCTCTACCAGCCCGCCTTCCCCGGCATGGTGCCCGCCTCCCTGCCCGGCCCCAGCAACGTGACGGGCTCGCCGCAGCTCTGCAGCTCCCCGGACAGCAGCGACGTGTGGCGGGGAACCAGCATCGCCTCCCTCCGCCGAAAGGCGCTAGAGCACACAGTGTCCATGAGCTTCACCTAATGGCGTCTCCCTCACGCACTCACGCCCGCCTGCCCCGGCCGCGCCTCCCGCTTTCCCGCCCTTTCTTCACCTCAGCCATGCCCCCCCTCCCCCGGCTCGCGCGGATCGCACTGTGCCCGCCATTTTGTTTCTCAAAAAGAGGAGGGAACAAAACAACAACAACAACTAACCAAACAACAACAGACGCTTACCAGGGAGTCGACTCATGATCTGAAATCGGTGGACTGGTTCGTGGGCAGAGGAAGCGCGCCCGCGCGCGTGCACAAACACACCTCCACCCCCCGGTCGCAGACAGCATCCCAAACCTGCGGTGCTCCAAGGGCGGAGACACAACCAACGTGTGTCTTCTTGATTGAGATTTCAGAAATACCTGTCAAAAAGGACTCACTTGGACCTCATTTTAATTTCTCCTTCCGCCCCGCTCCGCCAAAACCCACCCCATGAATGATCCAGCAGTCTGTTGGGCTTTTCTATTTTTTAAAGAAAGCGCCTTGAGAACCCACCCACGTACATAGAGAGAGAAATCTATATCTATATGTATACAAATAAAGATCCGAGTTTGTTGCAGGGTTTTTTGATAAAGAAGGGTTTCTTACCGGGCGTGTCTGGGCTCTGGGTGGCTACCAGTGTGGTAACGAGGTGGAGGGTCAAGAGGGGAAAATGGAACCATTTTGATAACGCATTTTTAAGTGATTGGGGGAGGGAGGGAGATTCAAACGAAGTTCCTTTTGGAAACTATTTTGTTTTTGTTTGTTTTCAATCACTTCCCTTTGGGGGAGGGACGTTTTGATTTAATGAACGGTTGAATTGCAAATTTGGTCGGGTTTTCTTCTTCTTTGTTTCGGTTGTTGTTGTCCCTGTAGAGGCTCTCCTGCTGCCCCCCACCTCTCCGAGCAGCAGGGAGATAGATAGATAGAGATGCCTGCCGCAAGACACCTCCAACCTGGCAAAAGACTTTGTACAGATAAAAACAATCAGCTATTTTTTCCCCCTTTCTGCATGTGCTGGTCCAATCCCAGAGAACAGAAGCTATTTCGAAGAATGAACAAACAAATGTGAAATAGGATGTTTTGTGTAGATAAAGCATTCTTGTTACATACTGGTCGATTTGTGATATGTTTTAAAAAAAGAAAACTTACTGTCTGTGCTTATTTATTATGGAATTTTGGGTTTCTTAATAAATGTTTGAGGCTATTATAAAGCATATGATTTGACTTTCCCCGACAAGTTTATATCAAGCTAATATGTAAATGGATAAATAAAAATCATTTTCAGTATGTGGTAATGAGAGCGACGGTGTGGGGTGAGAGGACTGTCAAAGGAGAGGCGGAAAAAAGAGACTTCCCTCTCCTCCTTTGGAATGGGGGGGGGGGGGGGAGCCCCTGTTGCCAAAGGGCCTGGCCTGGCCAAGTCTAGAGACCCTTTTGACACAGCTGTTGTTTGGGGACCGTGTAGGAATAGGCCGAGTAGACCCAACATGCAGGAATTCTGAACCTTCCATAGCAAAACATACTGAATTGTTGCATCTGGCTTTCCAAAACTGTGATTCTTGGAGTGGGCTGCATGTGCCAGATGAAGACCTGAAAATAGCTTGAAGGGAGTGGGCACAACTGCCGTTTGGGAGGTCCTGGGTGCTGAGGGAGGGGCGCAGCAAACTCTGCCAGAAACCTGGAGTGGGGGGGGGCACCCCCAAGGAATACTGTGAAGGACATGGGCCGTGGGTGTTTGCGCTTCATCACACTTGTAAAACCTCATTTCTGAAAAGCTGCCCTCAGCTGCTGAGTGATTCCTTCTCGCAGAGTTCAGGGTGATTTACTGAGGAAAGTGGGCAGGAGTGAATGGCCGTTCTCTCTGGGGCCAGGCTTCAGGCATTTTGGTTGGTGTGTCTGTCCGCCCCCGCCCCCCCC